CGGAATTACCAACGACATATTGCCGATATTGAGATTTCGTTGTTAATCCGTTGGTAAATTTCGTAATAAAATATAAAATATAAAATTTTATCAACGAAAATTGAGACGTACTAACCATGGAAAGTAAAATACAAAAAAAAAAAATTAATTGAAATTTACATACAAATCTATTCGTTGAGAATCCGTTGACAATATTATTCAAATTAATAATTTTCAAACCTAAAATATTACCTACAGTTTGTTGCGTTGTTAAATTTATGGAAATTAAAAATAAATCAAATCCTTATCCTTGCTCATGTAAAAGAGGGAATGCCACACTTATTGTTCATTTTTTTGCCTTCCTTTTCACACCTAACCGGTTTGCACTGTCCATTAACTGGTTTGCCTCTCTAAGTCTTAAATCCTTAATCCCTCCTTTCAAACCCTACTTGCAGTTCTCTCTCTCTCTCTCTCGAAGCCATCGAAATTTGGCGTCAACAGGGAAGCTTAATTCGTGGAATTTCTCGAATTCTTCTGCTGGATTCATCTGTAATTTTGACGGGTTTACGTGCTGGAACGACGATTTGCTCCTCAGCCAGCAACCTCCAGACTCTCGATCTCTCTGGTAATGCCCTCCCTTCTTCTTCTCTCCGCCCAGCGCCTCTCAATCGTGAATTTTTGCAGTTTTACTTGTGTTTTTTTTCCCTAATCTATCTTTAGTTTGTTCTTGTTGATTTTTCCCCATTTTTGGCTGCAAAATCTACCGACTTTCCTCTTCTTTTGGAGCTTTTGGACGAGCTCCTCTCTCGATCAAACCCCAAGAGGAAGAAGAAAGGTGCAATCGTAACTCTCTTTCACGGAATTTTTGCAGATTTACTTGTGTTTTTTTTCCCTACCCTCAGTTAACCCTAATATTACTTCTTCTCTCTCGATTGTTGAAAGAAATTCAAAAGGATATACAGGAATTGAGACATATATCTGTAATTATAATTCTCATGCGTTCAGTTTCTTCATTTTGTGTAGATTTCTTCCAATTTTTTGAGCTGTAGTGCAAGAGCAGTAGCTTCGGTTTCGGGTTTTACATGGGTATACGGTAGTCGATCTGTAGGTGATGATGATGGACGGAGGTCGCAGCGGAAGGAGCTATGGTAGGTGTTTTGGCGAGGGTGAGATGGTAGTATGTTTCTTTAGCAAATGTTTATTATTAACAGAGATTTTTATTTATTAGCTAAATCTTAGCTCTTTTTATTTATTATTAACAGAGATTTTGTGGGATTTTTTTGTGTTGATATATGAATCTAGATATGGATGAAAATCTTTCCATTTCCTGTTCATTTGTTTCTTTAGCAAATGTTTGAGTGGAAAATAAGGGACTGAGAAATGGCGTTTATAAAAGCATGAAATTTTGGATGAGGGTGCTGTTATTTGAGAGGAGGTTTCATATGAGCCTTCTTAGCTGGAATC